AAAAAAAATGTCGACAAGAAATAGTCATCGACAATGTTCAACAATATTTCAGTTCTTCATTGATTCTTCAATCTAAGTTCTTTTTACTCAAATAAATAGAATAATGAACGAATAATTAGGGGTGTGGTGAGAGTCACTGAATTATTTTTCTTCAGCTATTTCATACTGAAGAAAAAAGGGTACATAATCTTCTTTTAAAACTCGTCCAAGGAAGCAAATACTAACTGAAAAACGTGTTGATACTTGAATATGGGTGTCGTTTATTCTGACTTTGAACATTTATTTTTCTTGTAGGTAAACGCACTGAAAGTGAAATTAGAGCGGAGGAAACTGAGATATTTTCCAGTATTTATAATGACTGCAAGGGACCTGCAAAATCGGATCATAAAAGTTACGGGACGATACCAAGGTTTTACTATAAGGTAGATAAATAAAAGTCTTTGTGGTTAGTCGTACAGTATATGCACTAATTTAGTACTCACTTCAGAAATATTCATGTTGAGATTATCATATGAAGAAGGAAAAGCTACAACGATATTGATCCTCTACAGAAGGCTTTTGTTTATTGGGTTTTGCCAAACATTGACATAAAAACAATTATTAGAAAAATTATTGGAATATTAGACATGGGTTTAAAATAGGGGTACTGTAGTCCTTTCATTTGTAATTACACGGATACAGAAGTAGATAATACTTTAGGATTTTTAAATTTCTGGGGGGATTAGGAGTCAGTTTAGGCAAGGGTTTTGGTGAAGTTTTGTTATTAGCAATGTTAAAATTATAATTTGTTAAGGGTGCGTGATAGTTCTAAGAACATAATCTTTAATGACACAAGACACAAGTACAATAGTTTAGGAATATAGTTTTGAGGGAGACACCAAACTCTGTTCCCCTCTCCTACACCAAAGCCAAGATATTCAAAATCATGTGTATATAAAACTACACACACGGTTGGACCTCACTTAGATTTGTTCATTTCATGATGATTAGCAGAATCTTACCCTTTAGAGCTGTAATGACTGGGTCGCTACAATTCATAGTAGTTGGCTATCTAGGCTGAATCTTTGAATGGACGGCAACGATAACAGTACTGTATTTATCTCGGTTGTTCAAGAGTGGGAACTTCGGTAACAGTCGTGAACCTACGGCAATACGTCAATCACATAGGTCATTTATACTTAAATGATATCTTCTCTAATTTTGGTGAATATTTTTGTTATTTTTGGTAAAAAGTGATATTTTGGACTTGTTGAAAATTGCAAGCGTGATTGCTATTATATTATGCATATAGGCACCTCAGGTAGACCTCTCTCAGATTTGTTCATTTCATGATGGTATCTTAAATTCTCTAATTTAGGTGAATATTTCGTCATTTTTAGTAAAAAGTTATATTTTTGACTTCTTGTTGACAACCGCAAGTGTGATTGCTATTGTATTATACATATAGGCATTACAGTTGAACCTCACTTCGATTTGTTCATTTCGTGATATCTTCAATTCTTTAATTTTGAGATAAATATTTTCTTTCATTTTTGGTACAAAATGTTGAAAACTCAAAGTTTGATGGCTTTGATATTATACACACTGTATAGGTTATTGACCAAACAAATTAATGATTTCAGTTAAATTTATTGAGGATTTAGTGCTTGCAATGTTTTTTGATCACCAGTCAGTTATCGATATAAAAAAGAGGTAATTATATATTATCAGAATGACCAAAATTACTTTATAAATCCCTTGAAAGCTGCTGCACTCAAATTAAGTCTACTTTAAATTGAGTTTCCATTTGCATCTCATCTTTATGTGCAATGTGCATAAAGCAGCAGCTTTTATTTTCTGGTCTTTGTAGACAATTAAACTAGACTTCATATTGTGAATACATGTACCTAAACATGATAATTTTTAGTGTGCACCATAATTACAACTTTACAATAACGTAATGAAGAGACCATCATTCAAGAGGTAGAAATTTCAATAATGGTATAATTCTATTACCCTGTTAGATTGAATATTACTCTATGCACAGTTCATACTTATTTCTCCAATTTTTACAGCCACATTACAACTTTTTTATACAGAGGACATGTATGTGTTCTATGACATCGACATCATAAAGTCAAAACAAAAATGATGCCTGTGAGCTGGGAATGATTTGATGTATATCGTTCACTGTGTTGTTGTTGATTGGGGAATAATTTTAATTTTCTTCTAAATTTTAAAAGAAACTATGTATTATGTTTTTGTATGTGAATGTATTTGATGCTGTAAATAATTTGATAGAATCTATATGCTTCAAAATAACCCTGAACTCTGTATGAAGATTTTATGGTTTGATAATTAAATATTATGTTTTCTTTCAGTTACCTGCAGAAGATGAAGTGTTATTACAAAAACTGAGAGAGGAATCAAGGTGGGTGTGTATACTTAAAAATACAATGAGTCCTAAAAAAGATTTAAATTTAGAAATAAGGCATGCAATATTACACTGAATGACAGGGTTGCATCATTGTAATTCACTACGTTCAATTACCCACCATAGACTCCGGTCAGTCAAAATTACTATTTTGAACTGTAGGCATTAATCTGCGATTCAGCCAATGGTGGAAAGAGAAATCTAGGTCAGGAAAAGCCCAATGACCTCAAAGATTTTCTTCCATGTCTTGTTATTAACGGTTCACAGCTTCTTCAGAAAACTCAGTCGAAAAACTAGGGACTGAATCGCACTGTTTTTGCTACAATGCACACTCGGTGCGGAGAAAAACAGAAGTGATCATAAGGCAAGATGGCGTCACCCTCTTTGCTTCGGCCACGTGGTGCGTGACATGAAAGAAATTCTATGAGGTCATGGGGCTTCCCCTGACGAGTTGGAAACCCTCTGCCTAACTTTGTATCAGTCACAAATTAGAATTGTCAAATTTTCTCAAACTGTTTATTGTTTATCTTCCTCAGAGCTGTGTTTCTTCAAAGGAGAAGCAGAGAACTTCTGGATAATGATGAATTACAGGTACAGTTGTATAGTATTCAAGATTCATATTGTGTTTGTGTGAAAGCATAGTCTACAATGCTTACAAACAAAGTTTCTATCTGTCTGACCTACTTGTATTATGAACATTGAAAAATATTAATAAATTCTTGTGTTTGAGTAAACTGTCTCAATTTGTTTCTGTATTTTTTATTCGTTCATCAGAATCTTTGGTTTCTTCTTGACAAACACCACACGCCACCTTTAGTTGGTGAAGATCAGATGATAAGTTATGATGATTTTCTCAAAGTTGCAGAGGAAGCAGGCCCAAAATGCAAGTAAGTACACACTGTGTAGACACACAATTTGAAAATTCAGTATTCAGTATTTCCCAGATGGTATATGACTATAGTAATGTGATGGATTTTTTTGAACATAAGATCTGTTTCATATTGAACCTTGGATATACTTGAGTGTAAGAATCCTCACACCACTTGTCATCTACATGTATTTGCAATTCAGTAATTCTTTCGATTATAGGTATTTTACAATATACTCTCGAAGCCCTTTCTCTTAAATACATGCCCCTTGCTCCATTTCCTGTCATAAAACTCATTTTATTGCTAGTCATTTTACAATTACACTAGCAAAACAGACTCACTTATTATTAGTACTATTTCTAGAATTGTGTATTTATCTTGCAATTTTGTGATCATCAATTTTTGTGACTTCAAATAGGATCTTGAGTGTATATCACACCAATTGCGTACATTTATCTTTTAAAACCTGGATTTACCATAATGAGGTTGGTGAACTTATCAATCCAACCCTAGCAAACACTTTTGTTCCACCCAGTAAAACATATCAACTGAAAATTGGTGGACTGCCAATGGAATACATTTAAATGCCTCATTATGCTGACATGTGATATATTTGTTTACAGACCGTTCTTTAGTGCAACAGTGTTTGCTAAACTTCTACAGACTGATCCCTATGGTAGGATATCCATCATGCAATTCTTTAACTACGTGATGAGGAAAGTCTGGCTGCACCAGACAAGGATCGGGCTCAGTTTATATGACGTGGCTGGGCAGGGATATCTTAAAGAGTCGGTAAGTTTCGTGATTAGTGATCAGTCTTACATTCTATTTGTTTCTAATACTTTGCCTTTTTATTTGTCATTCGTAATAACACAAGTAATAAATTTAATATAAAGAATATCTTCCACATAACTACAAAGTAACAATTCTGATACAGACAATATGACTTGTGTGATGTGTATATATGCTAGAGTTATCATATATACACCTCACATGTTGCAGGTTTGGTTTTGAAATTATCAGGAGAATACCACAAAATATACACATGATACGATAAGATAAGATAAGATAATACAGCAATGGTATCAACCGACATGTAAAGTTGTATGCCATCCCTTATTGCCTGAGTGTGTACTTTGTAGTATTCTTGTGATACATTTCCTTATCTTGAGGAATAACAGCCAAACAGGCTATTAACCCTCTGTGTTCAGTGACAGGATGTATTCCATCACAGGCTACTGTTTTTTTCATGTAATGTAAATTAAGGAAACTGATGTCTATGACCTGGAACATGTTTGATGTTGTTGATGTATCCCATATAAGGGAAAAAATCTGTACATTAGAACAAGTGCAGATACCAATGATGACATAACATTTGCACATACATGCAATAAATCCTTTAGTCTCTTGCCATTCTTGTGTGAGTGTCAGACTTGACAAGAAAACTGCTGATGTACCTCTAAAACTCTTCTCTTCTTCCATAACAGGATCTTGAGAATTACATTCTAGAGCTGATACCAACTCTTCCTCAGTTGGATGGACTAGAGAAGTCATTCTATTCATTTTATGTTTGTACAGCAGTTAGAAAATTTTTCTTTTTTCTTGACCCAATGCGAACAGGTAAGAATATCAAATATTTCATAAATTAAATAAAACTATTGATTTCTAGCATTGGTTATAGACAAGGTGATGTCATCTAATGGCAGTACTGGTTCAATATGTACCAGTATATATAATATATGGTGAATATTTGGATTTCGTATTTCCTAATTTAAATCAAATTTCATTGTACCAACCAAACTCCATATATTTTGTAAATATGTTATATTCCAATAGAGCAAATATCGAATACAGTGAACATATTGCATAGTATTAAAATAAGGATTAATTTTTATTTTTAGCTCCACTGTCGACGAAGTTATAGTATTACTGATTGCCCGTCGTCAACTTTACATTTTCGACTTCTTCTTAAAAACCACAAACTGTATAGCTGTGAAACTTTCTAGGAAGGTACCTTGGGTGATTCTCTCTCAGATTTGTTCATTTCGTGTGGATATGTTCAATTGTCTTATTTATAGCAAATATTTTTGTCATTTTTGGTCAAAAATGCTATTTTCGACTTTTTCTTGAAAACCGCTAGTCCAAATGCTTTGATACTTGGTATGTAGGTACCTTGGGTGTACCTCTCTCACATTTGTTCATTTTGTAATGATATCTTCATTTCTCTAATTTTGATGAATATTTTTGTCATTTTTGGTAAAAAATTTTATTTTCGACTTCTCCTTGAAAACTGCTAGTCTGATTGCTTTGATATTGTATGTGTAGGTACATCAAGTGGACCTCTGTCAGGTTTGTTGATTTTTTGATGACATCTTCAATTCTCTAATTTTGATGAATATTTTTGTCATTTTTAGTAAAAATTATATTTTCGACTTCTCCTTGAAAACTGCTTGTTCAATTGCTTTGATATTGTATATGTAGGTGTATTAGGTGGACCTCTGTCAGATTTGTTGATTTTGTGACAATATCTTCAATTCTCTAATTTTGATGAATATTTGCTCAAAAACATTATTTTCAACTTCTTTTTGAAAACTGCTTTTCCGATTGCTTTGTAACTTTATTTGTAGGTACCTTGGGTGAATCTGTCAGATTTGGTAATTTCATGACGATATCTTCAAATCTCTAATTTTATTGAAATATTCTCTGCAACAAAATCAAAAAAGTTGGTGTCTTGCGGATATTGAAACAGTTAGCATTAAGTTTAAATTGCTTCTTAGTCATTGCTTTCAGAGCATGCATCACAAACAGCGGAGCTATATCAGCCGACAGGCTGCTAGTATAATCTTAAAATGTAAAATGCCATTGTCGTATTTTTTCTAAAAAATAACTGGATATATTATCAATTACATATTTAATATATTGTATGTCATTTACTAGATGATACAATATTTTTATTTACTAACTTCCAGGAAAAATCAAGATTCAAGACATTCTGGCTTGCAGTTTCCTGGATGATTTATTGGAGCTGAGAGATGAAGACTTGCCTAAAGATGCACAGGATTCCAACTGGTTTTCAGCTCCATCAGCACTCCGAGTTTATGGTTAGTGTGTATTTATACGTATGTCAGCCTGTCTGTGTGGCTATCCGTGTGTTAGATCTGCCTGTGTGTAGGGAGTCTGTCTGCATGCCAACCTGCCCAAGAGATAACCTAACTGTATGTCAACCTGTCGGTATGTCAACCTGTCTGTGGTCTGACGTTTGTATGGAAATCTGTCTGTGTCTGTGTGTGTGTGTGTCTGTCTACATGTACTGTAACAGCCTTAACTTTTGTGAGAAACAAGTGTTTATGCAATTCACAAACAATGGGAAATTTACCTCGTGTAAATAAGGACTCTCATTGGCTTTTGTGAAATTTAGTTCCCATGAATGCCCTGACATTATCAAGGTTGGGAAAAGGTTTAGCAGTAATAATCTATCAACTGACTACTATCTAACTGAACTGACGATCACATTGCAGAAGTCATCGAACTTGAGTTAAATTTTGTACATTTCTTTTATCTCTAGGTCAGTATTTAAATCTTGATAAAGATCATAATGGTATGCTTAGCAAAGAAGAGTTATCTCGGTACGGCACTGGAACGTTAACTGATGTCTTCTTAGAAAGAGTCTTCCAAGAATGTCTTACATATGATGGTGAAATGGTAAGAATAACAAAACATGTTATGGCAAAACCTATTGTGCACTTACATGAATGCCAAAACAGTTTACAATGGAGTATTCAGATGTTGTTATTAAATCACATGTGTAAGTGTTGCATCAATTATTATGGCAGAAGGTTTCTAACATTTTCAAGTTCACATAAACGGTCGGTGTTACTCTGAAATATTGAGCATGTATTAATTACTTGTTTTGCAACAAACTGGCAAAAATGCAGAAACTACATGCACTTCGCCATTTATGCCATTGGAATGATATCATTTGCATGAATATAAATTATCCATTTCAAATCTTTGTTATTTGTTCAGTAAAAAAGTCATTCACATGATGGTGAATGTGTTTACTTTGTACACATGCTTCTAATTAAGCAATTACTGTATTATGTGCCAGTGATTACTTTGTGAGGTGGCATCTACATGTTATATCTTGCATTGAATTAATTAACTTTCCGTCAGGGGCAATAAGACATGTTTTCACTGAATCATCAAGGAATCTCTCTTGAGTGCAGTAAGACTCTATATTTTTTTTTTATTTCATGTACATAGGACTACAAGACGTATCTAGATTTTGTTCTCGCTTTAGAGAATAGGAAAGAACCACAGGCATTACAGTATATGTTTAAACTCCTAGACGTACAAGCAAAAGGATATCTCAATGTGTTTGCACTCAACTTCTTTTTCAGGGTAAGTATTTAACTAAATTTAGACTCTATGACTTGGAGCTCTTCACAGTCAGTCTGCTGCCCTAACTCTCTCAGATTGGAGTCACTGTGTCATACAAAATTGCCATTCTCTTTAAAAACTACATAATGTAAATTATTGGCTTACCTGTAGTAAAGTAAAGTAAAGTGAAGTCATATAGTGGAAAAATGTCTTTTGTCTGTCAAGCTCAATTGTCAGTTACCATACTGAACAATAATTTTTATGCAATTAGTATTACCATCTCTCAATTGAAAAAGAGCTATTTCAGTTTTCCCCCTACCCCTGCATAATTTTTTTTTAAATACAAACTTTGTCATAAATGTGGGTTTCATAATTAATATTTCCACCTGCAGACAGGTTCCAAAGTTGCCAATATTTTTGTGATCTGCTAAAAACAGTGCAATTTCAAACATCATTTATCTATACGCTCAATCCTCTCATCGCACAAGGAGACTAATATTCTGAACATTGATATACCATACCTTTCCTAGGGTTGGTAATGGGCCATTCTCAAGTTTCATGATCATTAATATTCAAGGTGTTGGTACATTTTGTATGGATGTTGATGAAAAATAGATTTATCTGAAATACAATGACTGTCATTAAATTACGTATTGTCAATCATCATGCATAGATAACTGTTCATGGAGTAATCCAACCTAAAATATGTAAACACAGCAGAAAAAAAAATCAACACTGAATTTTCGGTTAAAAAATAATTGCATCTTCAAACAAAGTACTTTTAGTAATCAACATGATACAGCATGCTATACAGACAATAGCCAATGGGTTAAATTACTAAGTCAGACAAATGTACATATACAGAACAAGCCATGTGTAGTTTTAATATATTGATCTTTAGCAGCTAGTAACATAACACCGTACTCATTGATTTCTACAGGCGATTCAAGAGCAGATGAAAATGCATGGTCAAGAACCAGTGTCTTTTGCTGACGTCAAAGATGAAATATTTGACATGGTAAAACCAGATGATCCATTGAAGGTCACCTTGCAGGATTTGATTAACAGGTTAGTAAAAATAGTTTCCTTATCTACTATCCTGTTATATAAAGCTACATAAAGTGTTTTTCGGAATGTCTAACAATTTGTAAAATACATTTCAATAACACAGTGTATAGGTGGTATATCGCCGAGTGTTATTGATTTGAACAGAGTGTCTCAGAAACTAGACTAGGCTGTCTGCTTTTGAAAATAAAGAAATGAAATAAAAAGTGGCTAAAATACATAATAGTTTTTAGTTTTTCTGAAATAGAGGAGTAGTCAGGAAAAAAAACACCTTGAGTTTCTTGTTCAGGCTGCTGATAATATTCATGTGCTAAATGTTTGTATATCATGTGGCCTGGTAGGTGGAGCACAGTGCATACACGATTTAGCACTACCTAACCTGTTGGCATTCATCCACGATGAACATTTCAACAAACCTGTTGTTGCTGATTGTCCTGGATGTTTTGTGGGTTGACAATTACAATACTGACTAAACACATTCATCTAAGGGTAAAGCGAAAAGTTGAAAATTGAATGTTAATTAATCACTAGTAGGAAATCATGCCAGTTTAGTGCAGATGTGCGAGGGTCATTTATTTATTCATGATCATTCTATCATTTCACATTTCTGCTATTTTCTGGTCTTATTTTCTTAATTTCTGTATTACAAAATACAATAATATTTGTCTACTGCTTTGTTTTTTACATTTATTTATGTAACATAAATTCATTTCTCATTAACAGTGGACAAGGTGAAACAGTGACCAGTATACTAATTGATTTGAATGGCTTCTGGACGTATGAAAATCGTGAAGTGTTAGTTGCCGAAGCTAACGCAGATGACTTACAGGAACAGGAGGTTTGATTCGAAATACAGCATTTTGTCAACACCTTCATTTTATTTTCTGATGTAACGTGTGAAGGCCTATATCAAGACATCAAAGCCTTGAGTGTTTTATACAGCACTGACATTTTTACATCACTATATTGTTTTCTAGGAAGCGGTTTAAAACGGGGCATCTGCTGATTACTCAAATTACATTACCGGGTACACTATAGTCAGTGATCTCAAATCTCAAATGTATGTTGCAGACATCGCAAGAAAATAATCAGTGTGAACTAATCACTTTGTAAAGATAAAATTCTATATCAGTTATTATTTACCCAATCGTATGACTCATTTTCTTTATTTCATTAGACCATAGGGAGAATCATGGGTGGTCAGAGTGTCCTGTGTTGTATTAAAATTAAAAATGTTATTTATAGAAAATTGTTGAAATAGTATTTCTATATAATATGATGTATTAGTCCAGCAGAGTTGTTAAATTATCTCACATGTCTTTCAGAAAGTTATTGTAAATATCAGCTTTCTACTTCCAAGTAAAATTCATATTATTTTTTTAATCAATCTTTTAATGTACATGATAGGGTTCACATGTTGTTTCTTTCGAATGTTTTTAAATACATGTACCTGTGTCTTTGTACATAAAATGGGTTTGTTATCATGTTTTACTTTTTAGTTACTACTGAGATATTTGCTTGTACATGTAGCCATACCTTGTTTTTCCCTTCCATGGCCAAGCTCTATAGCTAATATGATTTATAAATAGCACAGTTTTCTCAGTGTTGTGTGTGTTCAGCTTAGGCTGATTTTGCTGTACATAATTTTTGTAATAAAGCAATTTTTCTCAAAAAAACTGTTGATTGTGTTGGTATGCAAGATGCTGTAAAATGTACATTTCTTAGAAATTTGGTATATTGAGTGTTTGTGAAAATCCAGTATCGCAGAATTCAATGTGGATTTCTGTCTTAGCTACCAAGGTGAGCTTTTAATGTTTCAGAACACACATGCAAAATTTATGAATTATTCCTCCCATAAGCAAAAATCAGTTTTACAGCTTTGGCGTTTTGTTGTTTGACTCGATCATTCCAACATTATCCACATTCTACTAGTCTAAAATATACTACCCGGTAGTACTCAAATTTATATAAACTATATCAACTTGTTTTCAAGTATTTAATATTGGAAAGTCTGGTCTTGTGAAATATGCAGGGCTCTTAATTGGTAAATATGTCTGATTGAATTTTGTTGTAACACAGTCATTCGTGTCGAGCACAAAACGGACTATTGTGTGTTGTCACTGTATATTGACATAAATGTGCATATTTGGATTTAATCATGAAGGTTATGGTAAGTGAAAATCTAAGGCTTGTGTAAATGATTATGTACACGTAAGCAGAATCAGTGTGGTCTGAAAAGAATAAATTTTGATTTATTTTGTTCTATTTCTGTAACTGCATTCAAAATAATTAGAAATAAAAGGTTAAGATTTCCTAATGGTCAATCATAAGTTTTAAGCCGTTTAGAGAAGACTATGTGTTATTTTCTCGGGTGGAATCATAGACAGTTGTGACCAAATATGCGCCCTCATAACGGAGTATGTGCGGTTAAAAACACATCGGTGAGGGCGTGGCAACTAAACTCTACCCTGTTATTTGAATAATAATAGAATTACATTTGTATATATAATAATAAGAATCATGTATATTAGCCTTTGAAACGGCTTAACGTGCAAGTCAACAGGGAAAAAAAAATATAAAATCACTCACACACGTTCAGTCTCTCATTTCTAAATTTCCAGAGGCAGGTGAGAAAGTTTCGGATTTCTTTTGATGTGTTATTTTCCACAAATCCTTATAATATGTACTATTTGCTCTACTGCTAATCCAAGCGACATGACAAATTGCTATGCTGGCAAACGATGTTACGTCTATAGAGGGATTATGTCACTGCCCGTCAATACGGTAACCGTGCTCAAACTAATTAAAAATAGAAAAGCGCTCCCTCTCTCGTTCTCTTCGGGTTGTAGTAAAATAACGTCTAAGTTGGTAACTTATTTGTATTAAAAACGGAAGCATTCAATTTCTTCGTCCTACATAATATTCGCTTCTGATAAAATTACTGAATTACTGGTTGTATTTCAGTTTCTGGCAAGTAGTATTAATGACACATTCTGCACATTTATTCGAGTACATAAATACACAACCAGTAAGGTTGTGTTACATACCCCTTGCGCCCTCAGCGCTTCCTTCCTGGCCATGCAGAGTCTGCTGACGTACATATGATAATAAAATAAATGCGATCAATTTACCGATATTTACTATATGAGGGCTGCCATCTTGAATACGTGTGCAACTAAATAAAGTGTTGTTTTTTTCAGATTCCTAAATAACAGGGAAAAAATAACAAACTTTCACAATCAAACGAACCGGGCTGTTGGGGGTAACCAATCGCCTACAAAATTTAGTCAAATTCGTCGTTTTTGTGTGAAAAAATGTCTTTTTTAAAAAGAAATTGTAAACTAGACTCATAAAGAGTTGCAAGGAAAAGACGTTGGTACATCCAGGAAAAAAAATGTACAGATAACGAAGTACAGCTTGCACCGGCCACACTCTTTCAGCCACCCCCGAATGATTTCAAATGTTTGACCCCTTAGCGTGATGAAAACATTTACCATACACGTGATATAAAGTCGATTCAACTATTGGGTAGAATGAGAAAGTGTTTGAACACTGTGGGTTGGAACTAAAGCTAAACTAAACTAAAGTCGGCACTAAAATTCTGTCACTTTTAGTCGGCTTGACTCACAAATCTATCTCCGATTTCTGGTTTGGTAAGTTATAATTAACCATCCCAGTAATGATTTGTAATAAATTGAGACAAATTGGTACAGACTTATGGTGGTTTAAATATAGTCACAGTGGTCAAAATCCTAGAAAAACGCAATAGTTATTCTGTGCAAAAATGTCACACAGTTAAAAAAATATCAGTAAGATGAAGTCCACTGTTATATAAATCTAGCAATATGGGTGAAAAAATTATATTATTTACATATTGCACGTATTTAAACTGCTAAATATAAACACAATCATGCACAATTTTGTTCTATTTTTTTTCCTCATTTTAACTAACACTCCATAAATCAAGCTCGGGTGTCATACACTTTGATATCACTAAGATTCAGTGGGAAAAAATGGCCAAAAAGCGCCATCATTACAGTCATAAACAACTTGTATTCATAAAATCAATAAAAAAAATATAACTAGAGAAGAAGACAGACATCCGTCATGTATATATGATCATGTTTGTATTTGTTTGTTTTAGTTATTCGCCACACTGGGTTGCCTGGTAACTCCGAAATGGTGAGTCTCCCGGATAGCTATCACACAAATCGACGCTCTACTTGTTTTATACCTAAAGGTACGTGCATGCCATCAATATTAACAACAAGCTGACCTATTTCACCAGAACCGCTATATGTCACAGTTAGAGTATCCACGGCAACTATATTTACCGTCAACGAACTGAAAACAAAAAAACGAGACAGGCGCTTGATAGGCTGAATCGGTTGTAAACTATAAAAAATACGACAGTTAAATCAAAGACATTAGAAAATTTTGCTATTTTGACATTCATTGCGTATGCAGCAATGTTTAAAATGTTAAATTACACAAATAGATTTTAAAATTACTTACTACAACAATCATGGGATTCTCTTGTAACAGTGCCTGTGGTTCGGCTAAGTTATTCTTTGAAAAACTAAAGTTAGGTTGCAGAGAACGCAGATGAAAAAAAGTACAAACAAGCATTTATTGGGCTGATGGTCGCGTTTTAAAACGAGACCATGACAAATGAGGATATATCGCGAAAGGCTTATAGATGATGTGCTTATAGTACAGTGTTATGCCAAGGTCGTCACATTAGCAGTCTGCATCGTACCACCATAGCATTCTTCAAGTGCTAAGGATTCGACATTATCATCACCACGGTGTCGTTAGTGTCGTTAGTCTGCGTTTCGAGAATGGGATGGCGTACTTCCATGCAAACCAAATGTGTCCGGCTGGGTGAGTGTTAGCTTGCGTTGAACGCTGATAAAAAAAAACATTGTTGAGAGGTCAATGGTTATTTCAATAATTGGTTTGGTTTGAAAAACAATAAGACTACTAATGATTTCTTGACTTCTATGGCAACATGAATAGATGTATTGTGAATCCAACATAACGTCAATCCGTGATATGATATTGCTTATTTGAACCACACACAGCTTTCAGTAAAAACGAGATAAATTACGTAGCCGACTGTCACCCAAAACTGTTTACATCTAAGCGTGCTTGTGCTTGTGCTTGTGGATGCAATAGGGTGATGAGCATTGACACGATTGTGTTCAACAAGGACACGTGACTTAAATATATGTTACGTTCTTTCGGCAATTAGGTTCTTTCCAACATTACTGTGTCATTGGTTACGTGACTTTTTGTCATTGGGTACGTTTTTGTAGTCGCTGGGTATGTTATTAGTTGTCATTGGATCCGTGATTTTCTGCATTCGTTAAATGCTTTTATAACATTAACCAAAATGGTCTTGTTTGTATTGTTTATATATTGCTTGCACTATGATTGGTTCGTATTGGTTCAGTGATATCGTTTATTTAAATAATTACCATTCTTGTTGTCATTGGTTATATATATTGTTCAACAGATCTGAAAAAATAAACAACCTAGTTTGTAAATTGTAACTAAAATGTGACATATAGTCCAATTCTCCCTAAGAAGCAATTCTTTAAGATTACGTGAAATGAAAAAAAGGTAATTGATCAATGAGAAGATCAATGAGATCATCGACTCCCAGTGAGCGGCTTTACATATATTCTGTATTGATGAATCCTGGCAATGATCTGATGAGTGTCCTTGCTCTGTGTCGTGTGTTGTTAAGAACAATTGAAAGAATAAAGGCATTGTCTTTTTTATTTGAAATCGACAAGTCCACGTTCAAATGCGGGAATTCAATTAGACCTTTGCTAATTGTTTGATCGTAGTGATTGGAGATACATCCCTGAACGATTTGTAGATGATTTGTTTATAAGTACAGTCACATAATGGTAAATGTCGTCACAATGACATCATGGACATCATAGCTTTATCAAGGTACGGACCCGACGTAATCAACGCCACCTTTGGATTAGTCATGTACATCACCGGCCTACCAAGGCTACAATAACGCAGCATACCATCGCTGCTGAGATACATTTTGTATAAACCTGTATGATTACGAGTTTTGTTACGCGGGAAAATAAATCCACACATACAACAAAACCCAAACAAAAACAAAATCATTTGACAAATGTACAATATATTCAGTTCTGTGTGATTGGTCAAGTCAGTATTGTTGCGTAGTTCGCTCACATCTGCAAAGAAACATGTGCATTTGTGCGCATATCTAGCATTGCCAAGGCGACATCGTCGACGGTGGCATTGAAACGCACTTCACTTCAATTTAGCGTCCATTGCGGTAGATCGATTCTGTATTTGTCGCCTGGCTGACCCACGCCATATAGCATGGTGTGTATATATATCGATACACAATTCTTTGGCACACCTCATCAAATTTATAATACTAATAGTTCGGCTCAGCATGCCTGGGTGCATTTCTTCACTTTTCAAACACTTTATTGTAATCTCATCTAAACACTAACGCATTATTTCGAACAACAACAATGACAGGGAACGCATTGTGAAAAACGTGCCACTGAGACCAATGCGTATACGCCGCGGAATAAGATTAACATTTTTAGTCCATTGCGAGGGAAAATAATTCTTCTCATGCCCTGGACATTGTTATATGTATCCCAAATAGTTG